GTCCGCTTACACACCTTGGGAAGAAATCTCGGCCAGTGTGGTGGAACAAGGAACTTGGTGAGCTCAGGAAAGCGACCAGACGACTGTATAACAGGGCGCATAAGTCTAAACTCGACACTGATTGGAACTCCTATAGAGTTAGTTTCAATAAATACAAGAGTGAGATAAAACGCGCAAAGAAAAAGTCTTGGGTAAATTTCTGTGAGTCTATAGAAGGAGTCAACGACGCTGCTAGGTTTCGAAAACTACTATCCAAGAACCCGAAGTCCATCGGTAGTATTAAGAAGCAGGATGGAGCGTGGACGGACTCAGGCTCTGAGACTCTAAATCTCCTAGCCGAGACTCATTTTCCGGGTTGCAAAGACATGGGTACCATCGACGGTGATCGTGATGACACTCGGCCTTTCGTCACTCCGGATCTGGATCTCATTAGCAAGGTGATTAACAGAAATAAGATACGATGGGCGGTCAACACATTCAAGCCGTATAAATCGCCAGGACCGGATGGTATCATACCGGCGATGCTTCAATATGCCTCGCCAAGTATTTATCTGATTCTTGAGAAGATTTACACTGCGTGTCTGACTCTCTCGTATGTTCCGGATCTATGGAACGAGGTAAAGGTTACTTATATTCCCAAAGCAGGGAAACCAAGCCACTCTGCACCAAAAGACTATAGACCCATTAGCCTATCATCCTTTCTCCTCAAGACTCTCGAAAGACTGATCGATCTGGAGATAAGGAGTCGTATAGACACCACCTCCCTTAGAGAGGAATGATTGCACTCTATGCATGCAAGATCCCATTGGGAAAAGCTGGGGGCTAAAACCATCGACTATACACTGGATGTTTGGTGGAACTGTCTGAGCCTCAAGTCGACATCTAGTAAATTAGACAAGGTACAAAGAGCCGCCGCGATTTTAGTTACAGGAGCCAGAAGGAGTACGCCACAAGCAGCTTTGAACGCAATGCTGGATTTCAAGCCTTTGGGCCTCAGCATTAAGTGTCAATCTGCGCGTAGCGCCCTACAGCTGCATGAACAAAAACTCTGGCGGAACTGTACATTTGGGCATATTAGTGTTCTGAATGAACCAGGTATAGCTTTGGACCAACGCATTAAACTAAGCGACTATATATCACCAATCCTTAGATTTGACGATGTAGATGTCGTAATTCCTAGTAGAGACGACTGGAAACGAAGTAACCCTCCTCTGGACGGTCTGGCTTTCTATACAGACGGATCCAAGATGGAAGAAGACACTGGGGAAGGCGTCTACTGTGAAAGGTTAGGCCTTGAGTTAACCTACAAGCTGGATAGCAACTGTAGTGTTTTCCAAGCAGAAATCTTCGCGATCTGGAAGGCAGCGGAATTGATAAAAAGTCTGGATGCTGAGGTCGTTGAACCGGTGACTATCTTTGTGGATAGTCAAGCGGCTCTTAAAGCCATCAAATCTTGTCACATCAAATCCGAAGCCGTCCTCAAGTGTAGAGCAGCTCTGGAAGAACTTAACCGTAGCTATCGGTTGTGTCGGGTACCAGGACATTGTGACATTTTGGGTAATGAAAGAGCGGACGAACTAGCTAGACGAGGATCTCAATCCACCGATCTAGAAACTGATGACTCAATCAAACCACCCATATGTCTTTTCTATAGGAATTTTGAGGCATTCTTTGACGAAACAGCCTGTGTACTTTGGCACAACGAACCTAGGTGCAACGTGTCAAGATCCATTTGGCCGACTCTGTCTGCCAAAATAACGCGCTCACTATTGAACCTGAGTAAAGCCGAAATTAGAGTGGTGACAGGAATCATCACTGGTCACTGCAACATCAGGGCCTTCACTAGTAAATGGGATCTCGATGCAATTGATTACTGTAGACTCTGTGTTGACGAGGAGGAGACGGAGACAATTGAGCATCTCCTGTGCCGATAATGTAGTCTTGCTAGTTGGTGGGAAGTTGCTAACGGCCATTTCAGATATTATGGAAGGCACCCTTTCAAATCTGTCCAGCCGGGCACACACCAAGGGTCTCGGTGTAAACTCCACTATGATAGAATTTGTGCTTTTCACTGGAAAACGTAAGATTCCAAATGTCCGCTTGCCATGTATGGATGGAGTGACCTTATCCCTTTCTGAAGAAGCAAAATACCTTGGCACAATCATTGACTGCAAACTAACGTGGAATAGGAATGTTGAGGAACGGTCTAAGAAAGGACTGCTGGCGCTCTACTCATGCAAGAACTCCATAGGTAAGAGCTGGGGATTAAGAGCCGTGATAATACACTGGCTGTATATGACGATTGTCTTACCCATTCTTACTTATGGTTGCCTTGTTTGGTAGCAGGGGGTCAACAAAAAGATGCTGCTGGCAAAGTTAAGTTTAGTACAGATATCGGCTGTGGTGTACTTCTTCAATGTTGAATGCAATCCTGAATCTCCAACCACTGAACATTCTGATTAAATTCCAGGCGGCCAGTTGTGCCCTGAGGTTCCGAGAAACGGATGCCTGGAAATCGCTAAACTATGGTCACGCTAGTATCCTCAAAATAACGCCAGGTTGTGATTTCTTGAGAAGAAATATTCACATTAGTGACTATGTCCCTCTCATAGAGACTTTAATTACATCAGTGTTGATTTTCCTGGTATAGAATCCTGGACTAGTGAGTCCTTACCTCTACCAGATCTGCCATTTGTCACAGACGGATCAAAGATGGAGGAAGGCACTGGTGCAGGCGTTTATTGTAGGAAATTAGAAATATACAACTCATATAAATTTAACAAGCGTTTTTCGAGCAGAAATCCTTGCAATCACGAAAGCGGCCGATATAGTCAAAACACTTACTGCCGATATTACGGGACCGGTGACTGCATGATATACAACGGATAGTTAATTTATGTTGGGTTCCAGGACATAGCAACATAGAAGGAAACGAGCTATTTCATTGGTAAAATCCGCTTTTTCTACGGCGAGGTAGTCGGTAACAGATGGTCGAGAGAACCTGGTTGCAGAATCTCAAAAGCTATCTGGCCTGAATTCATTCGCCGAAGAACTTCATCGCCATTGTCACATAATAAGAGAGACATCAAAATCATTGTGGGGATCATAACAGGTCACTGCAAGATTAGATCTCTCACTTCGAAATGGTACTCCAGCGGAGAGGATTACTGTCGTCTATGTGAGGACGAAGAAGAGCTAGAAACAATTGAACATATCCTCTGTAGATGTCCATTACTGAGTGGCAGAAGACACAAACAGTTTGAAAGATATGAAATTGATAATCTAGCTTTTTTCTTTAAAATAGACCCCAATTAGATCCTAGGCTTTGTCAAAAATCTGGCATGGCTATGCAAAAATTAAAGCATGATCAGATATAGCTGGAGATTGAAACTGATCTGCATAAGCTAGTATCGAAGGATCACTGATTAGCATATAGTCAATTAAGGACGTAGATTGGCTACCGAGGTCAAAATGCGTTGATCTGGAATTATGAACAATGTCCAACAACAACGAACTTTTCTACGCCAAGATGGGCACAACATGCACAAAACCATAAATACACGAAATAGTTATTAGTAATATCAGCTGATGACCATTGTAGCCAATGATCTTATCTTTAATTAACCTTATAATTGTCAAATTGTTATAAATATGTACATACATAAATAAGCCTTGTACTAATATAAATAAATAAAATAAAATTGTATTCGCCCTGTATACGCTTTTAAATTCATGCACTTGTATCCAAAATAAAACATTGTAGACCTTTAAATTCCTACATATTTTATTGTACCCAAAAAAACAAAATGAAATAAAAAGTAATTTCTCTCAGTTTTCTAATTGCAAAATCTGTGACCTAATTCGCAATGTTGCAATGCAGATGATTCAAAATAGTTTTTTTGTTTGTTTTTGTTTTCTTCTTTTTTATTTTTATTTTCAATTTTTAAAAATAAACAATGCTGCTATATAGTAATATGGTATAGTATGTTTATATCAAGTGTATTGTCAAAAATCTATGTCTCGTGTTTAGTACTTTTTGTTTTCTTCTTTTGCCGCCGTCTGTTGCTCTTTATTTCGCAAACGTTTTCTTTTTTATTTTTAAAAACGACAGATGTTTCCTTTCCCTTTTTATTTCTAGTATACAATATACATATATAGGTTTTATATAAATGTTATTGTATTTATAAATAATTAATTACAAAAAAATAAAAAATAAAATAAACAATAAATTCTAACAATTAAATAAACATAACAAAATATAAATACAGTATACACACAAAAAAAGTATTTTATTGTAATTACAAATATTTCTTTGTTTTATGTAAAAAATTTTGAAGGGAATATATTTTAAATGAACCGATTAAGGATGATGAGCAAAGGGAAATAATAATCAATACAATCAGCATATCAAAGGGTAAATAAAAAAACTTGAGATTCCAATGCAATTTATAGAAGTTATAACTAATTTAATTTGTATTTTTTCTTTGTTTTTGTAAATGAGAAAAACACAGCTTTAACTTGTTTCCAATTTTAAATCAAAAGAAAACATTATTGGAATATATAATGATTTCTTGTTTAAATATATTAGTATATATATATCTTTTGTTTATTAACATATATATTTAAATACAAACATGTACGTTATTTTAAAACTTCTGTTTTTGTTTTGTAAAAGTTGTTTTTCTCAAAAGAACTAAATTTTAAAACTTAAATTGAAAACGTTTTTGTTGTTATTCATTTTCTGCTTTGTTTTTTTTTTTTTTTTTTTTGATAGGTATTCGAGAGTGAATCGAGTTAATTGCATTTATAGAGATACATATATGTATATATCAAGTAGAGGTTTTTGTTTTTTTTTCATATGTGTAAGCATTCGATATTCATTCATTCCCAAAACATACACACATACGTACACACTTATTAAGATAGTTATTGTTGTGTTTTTGCTGAGAAATGAGATTCCTATTGAGATTATATATGTGTGTGTGGTGCATGTCTATTTTGTTTTATATTCGCTTTATATTCTTGTTAGTAGTAGCCTTGGGCAAGAGTCTTCATGTTCATCATTATCAGTTTATTGTTTCATATATGGATATTCAATATCCCGTAACGGCACAAATGTTTCCTTAATGGCTTGTGGGGAAGTCCAGCGCAAAATGTAATGTGGGCCACCAGCTTTGTCGTTGGTTCCTATTTCACAAAAAAATAAATAAATTAATTAAAAAAATATTGCAATTTATTTTAAATATACATACCAGACATACGACCACCACCGAATGGTTGTTGACCCACAATTGAACCGGTTGATTTATCATTGATATAGAAGTTACCAGCTGCCATTTTGAATTCTTCCAAAGCCTGCTTCAAGAAAGATCTGCAAAATAAAAGAAATAAACGAATGTGAAACGAAAGTTGTGAAGTTTACCATGTTTTTATTTTTTTTTTATAATTTTAAAGAATATTTTTCGAGCCCCAAATAAGTCGTGGATTTTTTAAGAATATTTTTGCAGCCCCAATAAGGCGTAGATTTTTTAAAGAATGTTTTTCCAGGACCAAATAAGGCATGGATTTTTTAAAGAATGTTTTTTCAGGACCAAATAAGGCGTGGAATTTTTAAAGAATGTTTTTCCATGACCAAATAAGGCGTGGATTTTTTAAAGAACACCTTTTCAAGTAGCCACAGGGCGTGGTTTTTTTAAGAATATTTTTTGATCCCCAAATAAGGCATGGATTTTTTAAAGAATATTATTTGATCCCCAAATAAGGCGTGGATTTTTTAAAGAATATTTTTCCAGGACAAATAAAGCGTGGATTTTTTAAAGAATATTTTTCCAGGACAAATAAAGCGTCGATTTTTTAAAGAATATTTTTCCAGGACAAATAAAGCGTCGATTTTTTAAAGAATATTTTTCCAGGACAAATAAAGCGTGGATTTTTTAAAGAATATTTTTCCAGGACAAATAAAGCGTGGATTTTTTTAAAGAATATTTTTCCAGGACAAATAAAGCGTGGATTTTTTAAAGAATATTTTTCCAGGACAAATAAAGCGTGGATTTTTTAAAGAATATTTTCCAGGACAAATAAAGCGTGGATTTTTTAAAGAATATTTTCCAGGACAAATAAAGCGTGGATTTTTTAAAGAATATTTTCCAGGACAAATAAAGCGTGGATTTTTTAAAGAATATTTTCCAGGACAAATAAAGCGTGGATTTTTTAAAGAATATTTTCCAGGACAAATAAAGCGTGGATTTTTTAAAGAATATTTATTTAATAGACACAAGGCGAACATTTTTTAAAGAATATTTATTTAATAGACACAAGGCGAACATTTTTTAAAGAATATTTTTTTAGTGTTGGCGGTTTATTTGGGATACCATTTGTATTTTGTTTTTGCAAAATAGTCAGGCTGAATCCCAGTTTGTTGTTTTTATAAAAAAACAACTATTTATTAGTGGGGAATGTATGGCATTGTTTGCCGAGGGGTAAGGCAGGGAAGACTATAGTTTCGGATCACGCCACTGATCCTCATCAGTTCCCTTAGTTTTTTGTTGGGATATTCCCCCCAGAAGCTATTGCTTCTATACAAAAAACCTTTCATATCCAAATTTCTCTTGTAACAAAGCGAAGTACTTAGCTGACCAACGACATAAACTGCATGAGAATTTCGCTGGAGCCTCACTTCGAGGTTAACAAGGCATTTACAAACAATACCACACCTTTCCCACTGTTGTGTGTTTTCACATCGCCACAAATGCACACAAGAAAACAATTCTCTGACACAAGACCCAACTCAGGACTGCAGTGGCTAGAAAACATTCCTCAAGTCTACTATGACTGGAAAAATTCGCATCAGGCCTTCTTTGGCTATGAGATTCTACCAAAGTGTTATATGACTAGTAACCTCCTACTATGAATATAAAAATGCCCTCATGACTTCAATGGCTAAAAAGCTTGCATGAGAATAGGACCACCGTACTCAAGTCTTCAATGACTAGAAACATGCTTCACACTACGAGCCTTAAACTTGTTTCTATTTTTATAAAAACGGGCCTCAAAAATCGTCAATAGCGAGGAGCTCTATAAACTGCCGGTTTAAATAATACAGGTCTCTCTTTGGATCTATCACAGTAACATCGTAAAATCTGATCAGAAATTCCTTCGAGGGAAAGGGTGTTCTATTCCCTAGTCTACATTCCTATTGATTTGTAGCTGAGACTCCATCATTGTACCTAGGAAGCTTAATTCTTCGCATACCTTTTAAAGAGCAAAGACATACAAGTATAAAGATACGACAATTGATACGTCGACAAATTCCAATAAATGGATTTTTCTGTTGTTATGATATCATAACAAGATTAATTTCAGTTTGACACTGACATTAAAAGGCAGGCTTGCCAATATGAACGTCTTTATTCCATTTGTTGTTATATCTATGCCTACAAAACAGACTTCAATTGCATGTTTTTTTTTTTTTCTTAATAATATTATCATCTTTTGTATATCTACTATCTTTATCATATCGAATTTAAACAAAAAACACCCACAGAAACAATACTTACTCATCTTGTGCGAATACAGCTCCAGTCAATGCAAACTGAGTTGATGTCGGTACCAAATTCATAGCATTTTTCAAATCAGCATCCTTGTAAACATAAACAGTTAAAACAGGTCCAAATATTTCCTCAGTCATTATTTTATCTTTGGGATCTGTAGTTTGGACAATCGTTGGATTAACGAAATAACCCTTGGCATCGGAATAAGTACCACCAGCTAGGATAGTTAGATTTGGACTATTTTTGGCATGTTCAATATAGGAAGTAATACGTTTAAATGCTTTATCATCAATGACAGCCGATGTGAATGATGAGAAATCTTGAACATCGCCAATTTTTAGTTTAGTGGCTTCTGCAACTAAACCATCTTTAATCTACAACAATTAAATTATTCAAATGATTTTCTTTTTAGGATTGTTAAACTTAAATGAAATGAATTCCAACTTACCTTAGACCACAAAGATTCTGGCACATACATGCGTGAGCAAGCTGAACATTTTTGACCGCAAAATTCAAATGCCGAACGAATGGTACTGGTTATAACGGTCTGTACATCGGCCGATGGATGTACAAAGTGGAAATTTTTACCACCACATTCACCAATTAAACGTGGAAAATTAATGTACTTGTCAATGTTGTTGCCGACTTGTTTCCACAGACGGTTGAAGGTGCTGAAGCAAGTAGAAAAATGAGATATAATAATATTTTTCAAAATAAATAAAAAAGTTTTCAAAAAAGACTATGAAAATTTAATTTATTTCACTATGGCTTTCAATTAATGTATAAGTCAAGGTGGTATAACGTGGTTCATATATAAAACCAGTAAGGAAAGTAGTAAAGTCAGACTGGGCCGACTTAGAAAAAAACACACAAACAAATCCAACTTACGGAACTGAACCGGTAAAATTGATGCCGGCCAAATATGGTGAAGCTGTAATGGTATCACCAAAGACAGGACCATCGGCTGGTACAAAATTAACGACACCATCAGGAACACCGGCCTCACGCATAATATTAAAAATGCGCCAATTTGAAAGAACAGCAGTATCTGAAGGTTTCCACAAAACAGCATTGCCCTTAAATATAAATTTCAAAACTTAATTAACTTGTTTAAATTTTATCTTCAAATTGTTTCTCACATACCATCAAAGCTGGTGTATAGGCCAAATTACCGCCAATTGCGGTAAAATTAAATGGACTGACAGCAGCCACGAAACCATCAATACCACGATAACGCATCGAATTCTTCGTTACTTTGATATTTTCACTAATTGGCTGATATTTGGCGCATTCTTTTAAGAAGAAAGCATTTAATCTAAAGGAAATAAAAAAATAATATAACAGATGTATTTACATATATGTATATCCTCTAATACGCACCTAATGAAATCAATTAATTCAGCTGCCGAATCAATTTCAGCCTGTATAACAGTTTTCGCCTGTCCCAACATTGTGGCTGCATTCAATTCCTGCCTATATTTACCGGCCATTAAATCCGCCGCCTTTTCCCAGATCTTCAAACGTTCACTCAACGGTGTACGATCCCATTTGGGTTGGGTTTCAACGGCTGTCTTTATAGCGCTCTGTATAGTCTTCCTATCGGCATAATAGAATTTAGCCAATTTATGTTGATGATTATGGGGCATAACCTGATGTACAACTTTATCGGTGCGTATTTCTTTGCCCCCAATGACAATTGGAATTTCTTCACATGTAGCGGCGGTACGTTTTAATGCCTCCTCGATGGCTTTACGTTCGGCTGAACCTTTTTTGTATTCGAGTATAGGTTCATTGTAGGTTTCGAAATCTTTTAAATTAGTATCGGGTACCACGGAACTAATACCACGTGTCTTTGTCATGAGATTACTGGGTCGAAGTGCCGTTTTAATTAGTGCTAAAGCCATTTTTGGCCTAACACCAGTACTTTGTGTTGTGGCGGTACGGGCTAGTTTAAACATGATTCTTGTTTGTTTCGGTTCGTTTTATTCCTTGTTGAGCTTAATCTGAAAGGAAAAAAACAAAAACAAATAAATTAGAATGGATCTAAAACGAGCAAAAACGTTGTTAAGTTCAACCGGATCGAACTTTTTATATCCTCCCAACATAAGGTGGATATTCAAAATACCTAAATTGTTTCGAGATCCTTAAATAAGGACTATGCAAAAAAAAAAAAAAACTTTGAAAGATTAAAATTCAAAATACCGAAATTGAGGTTCAAACTTTATATGAAGGCTTAGACTGAATATTTTTGAGAGGATGTTTTTAACTGCCTAGAACTTGGAATGGCAAATTCCAGTCACTTCGCTTATAAAATGCGTCTCAAATGTGATTATCAAAAATTCCTAAAATGGAGCAGGGCCATAAGCATAGGTTTTTTAGAATTTTATTAAAGACCATAGTTGAAGTTTTTTTTAATATTTTCAAGAACTAAGATTTTTAAAATTATATTGAAGAACCGTAATCATAGATTCTTAAGTCTATTTTCAAGACTCGTAAAAGTAGATTTTTTTAGAAGAGTACTTTTTTAAAGAATAGCTTTAAGGCCCATAAATCAATGTTATTTTAGAATATTTTCAATATAGATTTTTTAGGATTATTATCAAGATCCCTAAGTCCTGATTTATATTAGGCGAGTTTACTTGCGGCAATGTTTATCGGTCTCTTTTGAACTTGCTCCATGCGTCTATACAAGGCAATTCGGTTTCCAAAAAAATTTTTATTTGTTGTTTTTTCACATTTAAATATATATAAAATGTCAACAAATACGAAATACACAAAACGAATTGCCAGAAAATTGTCGATACGAGCAATTTTTTTTTCAGTTCTATACCCCCTGCCCCTCTCTCCTACAAACAAAGACTTGCCGCAAGTAAACTCGCCTAATCTAAATTGGGACTAAGCATAGATTTTTAAAGAATATTTCCTAAATTTCGTGCAAATCGAACGATATATAGTAACTTTGGTAAACCATTTACATTAAATCGGACGAAAATATATACGGGAGCTATATCTAAATCGGAACCGATTTTCACGAAACTCAACACATTTCATTGTAGACTTAATTCAGTACACTATACAACATTTCGTGCAAATCGAAAGATATATAGTAACTTTGGTACACCATTTACATTAAATCGGACGAAAATATATACGGCAGCTATATCTAAACCTGAACCGACTTTCGCGAAACTTAGCACACATCACTCTAGACCTAATTAAGTACACTTTGCAAAATTTCGTGCAAATCGAAAGATATATAGTGACTTTGGTGCACCATTTACATTAAATCGAACAAAAATATATATGGGAGCTATATCGAAATCTGAACCGATTTTCACGAAAGTTAACACACACCATTCTAGACTTAATTCAGTACGCTTTGGCAAATTTCGTGCAAATCAAATGATATATAGTGACTTTGGTGCACTATTTACATTAAAGATATATGTATATAGAGTAACTTCGGGTAATGTGGACCACCATTTTCCTTTTTTGATATTGTGGTCGTAACAACGGTAAAAAATAAAAACAAATTGTTTTCACAGCATGGTAGATTTGTTGGCTAATTATATTCCAGGTCAAAAATTATATATATTTGTCCATAAAAATGTTATTGCATTATATTTAAAAAAACTCTAAACTGCAAATAAAAATAACTTGGCGGGTAATGTGGACCAGTATGTGTAGGTAATGAGGATCAGTAAGTTAAAGGTAGGTTGTGGATTAATTGTGATAAATTTCAATTTATTGCACTCTTGGGTAACAATGAATGCAAAAATATATGGGTCCATGTTTTGGAATAGCCCCCATTTAAGGGTACCACCCCATTTGCGGTATTTTGAAGGTCCTTGCTTCATTATTCAACCGAGGCACATATAATTTCGGATATCGAGTTTTCAGAGGATAGAATACCTCCTCGCATATTAAATGCGCCCTTGTTTCGAACTCGTCCTCATGAAAATGTCCCACTTTTTTATAGTGGTCCACATTACCCGACATTGAATATTTTTATTTAAAAATAATTATCGGCTTCAAAAATGAATAAACATTTAAAAATAACCGAACGTAATTACAGATAAACGTGTATTTTTGTTAAAGAAAACAAGAAAACCACATAACCTCTTTATATTCGAGAAAAACAAAATGTTCGACTATTTTACAAAATCGTTCGACCATTGTGTTAAAAAATTTTCAAATCACACTTTTACAATCAGAGCTACATTTTCACCTACTAAATTTTTATCATTGCAATTATTTATTAAAAACCAAGTTTGATGTTTGTTTTCACTAATTAGGAAAACATTTATCAAGGCGGCATTGGCATATTTCAAGCATTTTCTTAGATATGGGGGGTGGTCCACATTTGACGCATGGTCCACATTACCAGAAGTTACTCTATATATGGGCAATATTGCCAATTTTTTAATATTCCATTTTCAAAAAATCAGCTTTTTTGTTTTTGTAGCACATCAATGATTTTTGGTACACATATAGAGAAAAATGTTCTGACTCCGAAACCGTTCGCGATCAAATTTTTGGTTGATGCGCGCAAAAGTTTTCGAGGTTTTAATTTTGGGCATAAGAAAAAAATCTTAAAATTACGCCGTTTATTATATTGACCAAAAACGTTGATATATATCTTCCTCCGTAAAATAAGAATATGAATATATTATAATAATCACGATAAAGTTGCACATATTCGCGAAATATGAGAAAAATAAAAAAAAAATATAGCAGATTACATCAATATTTTCATCATATTAATGACATACACACACCTAAAAATTAATTTAAAAATATCTACATAATCTAAACACCATGATGAATCAAATGACATCAAAATCACACAAGTCCGTGTAGCGGTTTCTAAATCACAGCGACAACAAAACAAGATATCGAGGAAAAATATTTGTTTTTGGTTCGAAAAAATAATGTCATCATATTTATTTTTTTAATTGTATACAAGAAATTTTAGAAAAAAAATGTTGGGGTTATTCTGCTATTTTACCCGAATTTCGCCGAAAAATTGAGATATATTATAATAATCACTTCTTGTGTATAAGTATACGCCTTGCGGATTATATCAAGATCCTTCCGATAAATCTTAGAATTCTATAAATAGGAATAAATCTTAAAATAAAATAATATTATGAAATATACATTTTAAATTGCGTGTAAATCGCGTAATTTTCAAAATCATTTGATGCGCATGCGGTTTCAAGGAAGTACTGAAGTTTATCTTCCAATCCATATATATTTTCCGAAATTTCAATTGACGGCTAAGATGTGCCACACGTTACATTGAAGTAACCAAAAAATCGTAAAACGCGAATAATTCCCGAAAACTCCATATGCCATTAACGCGCATCCGATTTCGGTGTGCACCCTAAAAAAATACATCGATCTATACCGATTTCAATGAGGTCCTTTTGAGATAAATTGGTATTTTTGAGATAAATTGCGTCTAAATCGCGTAATTCTCAAAATCATTTGATGCGCATGCGGTTTCCAGGAAGTACTGAAGTTTATCTTCCAATCCATGTATATTTTGCGAAATTTCATTTGACGGCTAAGATGTGCCGCACGTTACATTGAAGTACCCAAAAAATCGTAAAACGCGAATAATTTCCGAAAACTCCATATGCCATTAACGCGCATCCGATTTCAGTGTGCACCCTAAAAAAATACATCGATCTATACCATTTCAATGTGGTCCATTAAGAACCATGGATGTGCCAGCAAAATCTATTTTTGAGATAAATTGCGTACATCTCTCTTTCGGCTGAAGTTTTTAAAGTTCTCTTTTCGAAAAAGATCAAAATCCGTATGGGGTCATTTATTGAAGCGGAAATTATACACAGAAAACGCAAATAAATCCGCGATATTTTCAAAAACATTTTTTGCCAAATTTCGTGTTTTTGGAAGACCAGTTCCCGCCGTTCTAGTAGATGGATTTTCACAAAGAAGATTTTATATCATCCGAAACGTAAAAAACCTTATTGATCGCGGGTACCCATATCATTCAGTTGACAGATCTAAAAATTTGGCCCGAAAAATAGGTTTTTTAGAAATTTGATCGCACAAAATTCGCACGTTCGGATGAGTATTACTCTGAAGCTGTGCATACTACATACACAAAATACATATCAAATTACGCAGATTCGCGACTACAATAATCTTATAATCGATTTTTATAAATTCCTGTTTGCGTATTAAAGCTAGAAGTAAAATTAAAAAAACACTCAAAATCGAGCTTCAAAATGTCAGCATCATTTAAAGATAGATGCAGTTAAAATTTTGAAAAATGATACATAAGGGGCGTAGTCCCCATTTTGTTGGCTTCCAGTTTTATTTTGACACGAAGACCGTGCAATGAGTGGCTTAGTCACAAATCGATAGAGAACATAAAAAAACTGGTTCGCCTCAACCTGTTTTTACACATTTTTTTACATTAAAGTAGACACAGCTTCCACCAAAATAAAGTTTGGAGGTCAATATCATGAACAGTTTGCAACGACAGATCAATTAACCCAAAACTATTCACTTTTGTTCATATATTTAAGTAGTTCCCGAGTTATAAAGGGGTGAACCTCCGCTTCAGCTATGTTAAAAAATTGGCAATATTGCCCATATATAGTTACTTTGGTGCACCATTTACACTAAATCTGAACCTATTTTTCCAGTTTCAATAGGGTTCATCCTTGGCCAAATAGATGAGCTGTGCCAAATTTGATCCAATTCGAATCATAATTGCGACCTGTTTACAATTTAATATGCATAAATCGACTCAGAAAGTGATTCTATGCACATTTTCAAAAGGAAACCTGTGTCTATCGCGTTTTCTTTTGCAAACATATGCACAAAGACATAATACCCAGTAGCACAGTGCTGTGAAGGGTATAAAAAGGACTTTTATTACAATAATACCTTTTATGCCTCAATTTAAATAAATAAATAA